TAATTACCAAACTGTATTGCCTATTGAAGACAGATTTTTGAAAAATATTTATGTATGAGTGTATTATCTGCATGTAAGTGTACCTGTGTCATGTTATGCCCACAGATTAGAAGGGGGTGCCAGATTCCCCTGGAAATGGAATTATGGACAGTTGTTAACTGCCATGTGGGTGCTGGGAATCAAACCCGGGTCCTCTTCAAGAGCAGCAGGTGCTATTAACTACTGAGCCATCTCTGTAGTCCCAGGAAACAGATTTTTAAAACTCACAATTTGGCTGGGGTTATAGCTCAGTGATACATATTTAGCATGCACAAGGCCCTGGGGATTCAACTTACAGCACCAATAAATAATAAATTTATTGAAAAATCACAGAAAAATATATTGTGAAAAAAGCAATTACAACAAAGCTAGGGTGGGTATACAGATACAAGTTTTCTTTAAAAGGTGGTGGGGGAGGGAGGGCTAGAGAAATGGCTTAGTGGTTAGAAGCACTAACTGTTCTTGCAGAAGAACAGTCCCCAGTACCTACATAGCAGCTAATAACAGTCCATACGTAACTCGAGTTCCAGGGGATCCAACACTCTCTTCTGGCCTCTGTAGGCATTGCAAACATGTGGTACGCTAACATACATGGAAGCAAAATGCTCATACATATAAAATAAAAATAAAAAATAAATTCAGGCCAGGTGTGTTGGTACATGCCTTTAATCTCAATACTTGGGAGGCAGAGATAGGTAGATCTCTGTGAGTTTGAGGCCAGCCTGGTCTACTTAGGGAGTTCCAGGTCAGCTGGGGCTACAGGGAGACCGTGTCTCAAAAAGACCAAAAATAAAATAAAGTAAATTCAGTACCAGGCTTGGTGGGTCACACCTGATTGCCAAGTTCAAGGTTAATCTGGGCTACATGAGATCTAGGACAGTGTAGGCTACAGGGTGACACATTCAAACAAGCAGATTTCAAGGGGCAGGGGTGGGACTTTTCAGTGATGTAGCTGTTTTGAAGTCACTCACACTGCTGAAAGCAAGCCGAAGAAATTCACTGGTTCATCAAGCTGAACTTGGGTGGAATTATTCCTTTGGTCTATTAATTGGTACTCTATATGTGGTGAATAGACATTTGTTCACATATCCCCAGGAAAAGTTAACACAGCAGTACTGAAGGCTGAAGTCTAAGTTCTGAAGTGCTGGCTGGTTTGGTTTCTCCTCAGCTTGCATAAGGATGCCTTCTTGCTGTAGCGCTGATGCTTCTTCCTCTTTTAGTTATACTACTAATATGGGATTTGGGATCTACCTTTACTAACCTTAACTCCCTCTTTAGAGCTCCTGTTTTCAGATATACTCAGATATACTCAAAAGCCTGTAATGTGGAGAGAACTGGAGGACATGTTAGCGAAATAAGCCAGACTCAGAAAGATAAATACTGAGTTTTCTCTCATGTGGAATCTGTGGTGGTGGGGGTGGGGGATGGAGGTAGAAATGGGATGAGGGGAGACATTTTAAAGGAAGCAGAGAAAGGATAATGGGACACGTGCACATGAATGCAGAAGGGAGAACTATTTGGAGAAAAGGGTTAGCAAGAGGAGGTGGGAGTTGGGGGAGGGCTGTGGATTAGGGGGAGAAATAAGAACAAAGTATAATGATATATGTGGTATGGAAGTGTTATAATGAAACCAATTACTTTGTATGCTAACTTAAAAATTAATAAAAAGAGGAGTTGGGTCAAAAACAATGAAAAGCCAGGGAAGGTTATGAAGAGGGCAATGGAAACAGCTAATTTTTGTCACTGCCTTATTATAAATACTTATAAGAGCCAAAACAACAACAACAACAACAACAAAAAACCAAAAAAACCCACCCTTACATTTAGGCAAACAACCACCTTCCTAAGCTTCATGGCTATGTGTAAAATAAGTTATTTTTACAGAGCAATTTCTTGACTCCCAATTCACATCAGAAAATAGGTAAGGTTTGACAGACTAATAGGTAATTGTACCTTCTTTTAATCTGAAACCAGTAAGCACTAAATTATTCATTCTAGCTGAAGGAAAGATATACACATAACTAAAAGTCATCAATAATCCTGGCTTATCTTGAGTTCACTTTAGCATATACTTTTCATTTTTGATTAACATGGTTCTCTAAAATCAAAGAATTTAAAGCTAAGCCAGCACAGGGTAATCTACAATGACAAACCTTGTGACTCCCACATTGGGAACTGAAGGAATTGTTTTAGGCCTTTAACAAGTAAATAAAGTATATATTTTTCTTTACACTCTTCCACACTGTATGACTGTTTCATTAACAGCAAGGGTAGCTTTTTTTCCTAATAATAAAATGTATTTGGAAAACAAAAAGTTGTGTGTATGATAAGGGTGAGGACTTATGCATGCTAATTGACGATCAAGGGACAATTTTGAGGAGTTGGTTCTGTCTTTACATGGGCTCTGAGGCTCAAACTCCAGTTGAGGGAATGCAGTTTACCCACTGAGCCATCTCACAGGGCCAGAAATATCACCTTAAAGACAAGGTGAAATAATTGAGCTGAGAACTTCTCTTGAGCTATTTAAGTAATTTAAATAAATGCTAATAGAACCAGACAGTCACAGAACAGTAATAAAACTATAGAGTATAAGGCTTTGAAATATGGATAATTCGAATGGCTATTTTCTAAAGTATTATGTAGAAAAATACTAAAATGAACAGCCATTTCAGAAGTCAAAGAGAAGGCAGGACGTTTGGCAGGTAACTGAATGAAGATTTCTTTTTCTGTATAAAATAAAGGCATGCAAAGCCAGTGCTTTTATAACCCAAACTAGTTACAAAAAACTAAATGTTGCCAATAACTTCACTTACATTTTTTTGTTTGAAAGTGTCTCACTATGTAGTCCTGCCTGGCCTGGAACTTGGTACGTAGACCAGGTTGGCCTCCATCTTACAGAGATCCACTTGCCTCTGCTTCCTGAGTGCTGGGATTAAAGGCATGGGCTACCACACTTATCATTTTTTGACTACTTCTCTCACATCACTCTTTTCTTTTCTTTCTTTTCTATTTTTTTTTGTTCTTCTTGAGACAGGGTCTCCCTGTAGTCACAGCTGGCCTGGATTCACTGTGGAGACCAGGCTGGCCTTGAATTACAGATATCCACCTGCCTCTGCCTCTCAAGTGCTGGGATTAAAGACATGCACCACCAAGCCTGGCAATATTTAGTATTTTTTAATATAAGGAAAAGATTAAGACAGAATCTTGTGACACAAGTGGAACCTCTACACCTAAGGAACATGGCAGAACAAGGGCTAGAGAGAATACTAATACATCCCTCAACTCTCACCAGTAAAGCTTCCTTATACAACAGACTGTGATGCACACAGAAGGCCACAACTGGCTAAGTTTTAGAGAATTAAGAGACTGTAGAGTACATGTCCCTGTATAGGACTCCTATATTAAACCACACCCACCCATGGCTCAGGGACCATTGCAGAAGAGGGGTTGGAAAGACTGTAAGAGCCAGGGTTGGTGCACCAACATAAACAGGCTTTCAGGACACTGGAAACTTGTTCATATGAACTTGCAGCAAAGCTGACAGCATGCACAAAACCCAAACTAACTCAATCAGACAAAAACTCAGCATAGAACAGGGGAAATGGGCAGCAATCCCAACCCTAGCCAAGGAACTACTGGCAAATGATTAGAGTAGATCTTCTTTAAGGGAGTGACTCTAGACAGACTGACTAGACTCCAGTGGATGAACTTGCACCAAAGGACACCTGGATAGAAATGCTTGACTGGATAGGACTTAACATATATGACAGAATACCTGAAATCTGGTGGTGGGGGGGTATGGGGAAGAAGGTTTAAATTTGATTAAGACATATTATATAAAATTTACAAAAACTCAATACAAATATTAAAAATGAAAAAAGACAGAATCTTATTTAGAGTCAAAGGTCAGGGTAGCTGGGTGTGGTGGCCCACACCTCTGATCACAACATTCAGGAGGCAGAGGCAGGCAGATCTCTGTGAGACTGAAGGCCAGACTGGTCTATATAATGAGTTCTAGGCTAGCTACTGGGAGACCCTGTCTCCAAGAACAACAACAACAACAACAAATAGATAAATAAGTCAGAAGAAACTCTTCCTTAGGTAAGAGAATAAGAATATCCTGCTATTATCAATTACTGCTAATGTTACACTGTTTTGAAACACAGAAGATTATAAAGCTCTAAGTATATAGATTTATAATTCTGTATAGGTGAATATGGGGCTTAAAGACTTGTGCCTTAAAACAGAAACTCTAAAATATGTTAAATTGTCACTAAGTGCTATAAAATTCACCAGATACCTAAAATATCTGAGAAAACTCTGGGTGGGTCCTATACCATTTATATAGCTGGGGTTTGTGTGTGTGTGTGTGGGGGGCGGTTTCTATTTCTTTTTCCTTCCTTCCTTATTTTTATTTTGACAGGGTCTCACTAATTGCCCTGGCTGGCCTTGAAATCACAGAGGTCCATCTACTTCTGGCTTCCAAGTTCTGGCATTCTTTGTTTGGTAAACTATAACATATGTGTCCTGAAAGAAGTAAGAACACAATGGTAGTTTTAGATATACAATACCTGTTTTTAATTCTTAAAAACGTAAAAAAAAAAAACCCAAACATTCTTATTTTCTTGTTTAAAAAATTGTTTTCATTTTAATGATCTGAGTTAGTAACAAATATACAAAATTGTCTTTCACATTTCCATACATATTATGGACCAATTGAAAATTCTGGACTACAAATGCAGGTTTCTTTGTATCCTTAGCCTTAGTTATTGTCATTTATAAATAGAGGTGATTTGTGAAAACATGCATTTGTGAACACCAATGTCAATGGGTGTGCATCTAAGTTAATGCACAAAAATAGTATACATTGTTCATTTGTGCAGTTGTGTGTCAAGTATACCTGACACAGAAGCAGCGATCCTGGGCTATTTCACTCTATTTGAAAAGCATTTTTGTGAAACAAATGGAAATACATTTTAAAACAAAAACTATTCTGCAAATACAATAAAATTCGCAACTTACACATCTGAAACAAAGCGGCATCAATAACCCGACTGCTGACCTCATTAGGGGATCAAGTAAATAGAGATTGGATATAAGAGAAATGGGAAGGACACCCCATCTCCAGTAACTCATCTGAATGAGTCATGAACACCAACACAAAAGAACTTTTTACATTATATGGGGAGATCGCCAGAAACATAGGTTGGAATTTATCTGCCTCAAAGAAAATAGATTAAGAAAAAAATTATTTTAAAATTGTGAAACTTTGAAAATAGTCCTAATGTGTAAACCCATCTACATATTTTCAAACTTTGAAAATTTAGACAAATTTAGAATTTTAAAAGTAATATGAAAAATTTCTAAACCATTTTAAGATATGATTATTTTTTATCTTACCAAAATTTCCTATTTGGTAAAATCACAGGGAAATGACAGTTTCTGGTTCAAGCTACTGTGATAAATCATCATAAACTCATGACCTCATCAGGGATCAAGCAAGTAGTAACTGGGTTATATGAAAATTCGAGGAGGCCTCTTCTGCAGTCACCCATCTGAACTAGTAACAAATATCAACACAAAAGAACTTTTTTACATTAAACTACTCCAGATTCCCTACATGCTTTGGGGGGGGCTACGGGTACTGGGGAAGGAACCCAGGGTCTTGCACATGCTAGCCAAGTGCTCTACCACTGAGTGATATCCCCAGCCCTCCAGATCTCTATAGGTAGGAAAATTTTTCCTTAAAATATTTTTCGAAGTTGTGGCAACATGTGCTTTATCTACAACCTAAAGTTTTTCCTATATTATACATTTCAAACTTCCTGGCAAGGAATGCAGATGCTAACGACTAGGCATTTAACTTCCTACAGAGAAGACTCATGTATGGTTGTCATAATATAGTCCTACTTTTCTCTAAGGCCTGAGGTTGATGTTTTCCTATGCTCTATGGAACAAATGAAAGAAGATAATGCACATAAACAATGGCATCTCGGGGGGGAGAATCATAGGACCTGGCCTCCCACGTTATGATAACTTGCTTTACTAATAGGAATACAACTGTAAACAGTTTGAGGGCAACTGCAGTTCAAAAGGAACTAGAAAGCCAGGCATGGCAGCTCATGCCTATAATCCCAGCACTTGGGAGGTCAAGGCAGAAGGACTACTGTGAGTTGGGCCCAATCTGGATTACATAGTGAGTTCCAGACCAGCTTGGAATAGAGAATGAGACCCTGTCTCAAAAAACAAAAACAAAAAAGAAATGGATTATTTTCTATGGTAAGATTAACCTTAAGAGGCTTATTTATGAAAAAGTGACTGTAAGTTCAAACACATATTCAATAGTTTCTTAGATACAAGATGGCTTTTAAAAGTATTTAAGCCATCCATAAGTTAAAAAAGCAAGCGGGAAAATGATGTAAAGACATATAGGCAAACACAATTCTGCACTTTGGAAATGAAAGATATCAATTTTGTCCAGAGTCAGTATTATCAAAAAGGAGTGTGGCTGCTTCCTGCTCTTCTCCAATTGTAAAACTGATCACATGATTCTGTCACTGCTAATATCCTTGCATCTCCCATGAATTACATAAAATAAGCCCAAAAGGTTACTTTGTTTCAAAAGAAGTTATAAAAAACCTTTCAGAAACAGGACATTTGACCCTGGAGAGAAACTTCCATTACTTACTGAGTACTACTGAGTCTAATGGCAGGTACAAATATTAAGGATTATTGCTTTTAATAAGATAAACATCAGAAATAAATATATAAGCTTAACTCAAATGCTTGTTTTTCTCCCAATGTTACAGTGTTTTATTCTTAAGTCAAGTGGCTTGTTAAATTCAATTCTTGCCAGTTTACTGAAGTTTTAAGTCTAAGAAGTTGGCCTGTTCACTCAAAATCAACACAACAGATATGTCCACATAAGCATATCTTATTTGGGCATTGAACAGTAACACTGCTTACTTGATAAGACATAAGGCACTAAATGGTGGTAAAATAAACAAAGGTAGGATGATTAACAACTTCTTTAGAATCCTAAAAAAGGCGATAGTTTAGAATGACACTAGTAAATCTTTTTCACAAACAAATAAGGCAACCTGTTGGCAAACACAAATAAAACATAAGGTCATGTTGAACCTAATACATTCGCTGTCTCTGCTAAACTACTTGAAATGCTAGCTATGAAACTTAGGAAAGCTACAATAGTGTGCATAAAGATAGAAAGGCACCAAAAGGAGAGCTCCACTTCCAGTTCTAAGAGTTAGGGAAGCTGTGAGCAACACTGCCTATCATCTGATTATCAGTTTAAAATTTTATTTATTTTGTGTGTGTTGGCGGGGGGTACATGCGCATCCCCACACACCATGCCACACATGTGGAAGTCAAGAAGACAACTTTCAGGAGTCAGTTCTCTCCTTCCTCCATGTTAGCCCTGGGGTATCAAACTCAGGCTATCAGGCTTGGTGGCAACCACCATTACCCATTAAGCTATCAAAATGTATCAGTAGTTAAATTTTTACTTTGACCAATCAGTATAATAATCAGGTGCTATTTTAGTGAGAAATTTATGGAATGAGAAATCAATGCAGTGTTTCACGCAGTCCCACTTATAAAGCTAATTCTAGCACCGAATGTATATTCCAAATAACACTGGAGCAAATTTGTGTGAAAAAAAAAATGGTTACCTCAAGATAGGATTCAGAATGGAATTTGACATACAACTACATAGGATTTACTGAAAATAATGAAGTGTAGTACAGATACAGAGAACATAATTATAACCACATTGTTTTTTGTGAAAAATACAACTATTAGTAAAATGTACAATTGAAAAATTTCCAAAGGAAAAAGCATAGTATAAACAAAAATACTTTTCTTTGAAACAGGGAAAATAGTATGTCACTTTTTTTTTCATCACAATATAATTTGACACAAAAAGCAGTCATAGAATTGCACCAATTCCATATCCAGTTTCCTGAACATGTTAAAAGGAGTCCATAAAGCAGAATGCAGTTTCTGGATCTCTTATTTTAAACTGATGATATTCTCACATAGGATGCCACATCATACCAGATATGTTTACACAATGTACATACTTTCAGTTCTGTGACCAGACATGAATGCTTCTGCCACCTCTCTTTTCATTCTGATGTTTCGTCAGTCATGGAGGGGAAAAAGTCAAGTTACTTAAGTGTTACTTCTCTAGCAATAAAAATTATATTTAGTGCATGCTTTATCGTTTGTCAAAAAATGTTTCTGAAAATTCAGTTACCCCCCACAGTTTACAAAATAGAAATATCATTCATTATGATAAAAATGTGGTGGGATTAAGGTCCATTCCTAAGGACGGACTTCCCTTAGAGCACCACTGTCCTTAGCAAAGATCCTGGTAGAAGTTGCCCATGGAAGTGGGCATGCCTGTAAGAGACGACTGCTTGACATCTGATTATCTGTGACACCACCCTGTGCCATTTCATTAGTGCTATTGAAAAGTAGGATTTTGTGGAAATGTTAGGTACATTTCTGTTGTACATGATTTAGAAGTTCTCCAAATTTTTCAAATAGGTCCTCCACCCATTTTACATTTTTCATACAAAGTTGAACGATTTCTTCCTGTCCTAAATCTTCATTTTTTTTCTGCACAGAAGATATCTAAAATAAAGAAAATTGTCATATTAACTTACATTTATCACTTTATACTTTACATCCTTTACAAAGCCTTGCTCTTTCTATATCTTGAATGAAAAAAGGACTTATTAATGCACCTATGTACTGATTTTTTTCACCCACCCTCATTCCCAACCATAGCAAATGATTGTTTCAGATAAATTTAGATGAGGTCAACTCTTATTATCATTGGTTCCACGGGGGCAGAGTGAAAGACTAGGGAAAGTACATCAAGCTTTCTTAATTCCTTTCAATTTATTAAAAGCCAAATGACAAATATTGATCCCAATTCTGCATCTCAGAGTACTATACAAATAGTCAACACAGTCTGCAGAACTATCTTCACTTTCTCCTTTAAATTTATAATCATCTTTCCATTCCAGGCTATTTTCTTTTTTAAAAAAAATTATTATTTTTTAAAATTTATTTTTATTATTTTTTATGTGTATGTGTGTATTGCCTGCATGTAGGTAAGTGCACCCATGTCGCGCAATGCCCGCAGAGGACAGAAGAGGCTGTCGGATCCCCTGGAACTGGAGTTACGGACAGTTGTTAGCTGCCATGTGGGTGCTGGAATACAAACCCAGGTCTTCTGCAAGTACAGCCAGTGTTCTTAACTGCTGAGTCATCTCTCCAGCCCTCCAGACTGTTTTATAATACACCAGGTACAGCTCTGGGCTAAATTAATCTTGTAATTATAAAACTCATAGTACAGGTCAAATAAGAGGTGGTACTATCCTCAGTTACTGTCTAGGGAAATTAATCCTATCTCATCTACAAGGTGATACTGCTGCCACATGTAACCATTGTGTCTTAAAATTCATTAACACCTAAAAATTGTATTTGTTTTTTTTATTCCATGGCATTTCTCTACAATTAAGTATGCTAAGGTCATTCTAGTGATAAGGAAGACATCAAGATATAGACCAAAGGCTGAAGGTGAGATCAGTCTACATTATGAAAGAGCAAAATGTAATAAACACCATTTATTATGGAAAGCAAGCACTAATAGGTTAACAATACTACCAGTCATAGCTCAAGAGGTGATAAGGCTCTGGTTCATTTGAGTAAAAAACAGCAGAGAAACTCAAATCTAGTGATTATTTAAAAAGGGATGTAGGCAAAATAAGTACACACACATTTTGTAATTCTTTCTAAAGCATCCACAAATATCTAGCTACAGTCCCTTTAAGAAAGTTCAGAAAGGACTGGAGAGATGGCTCAATGGTTAAGATCATTCATTGGCTGCTTTTCTTGAGAACACAGGTACAGTTCCCAGCACCCACATGGTGGCTAACAACCGTCTATAACTCCAGTTCCAGGTGACCCAACACTCTCTTTTGGCCTCTGCAGGCATAGCATGACACAGGTGCACTTACATGCAGGCAAAACACTCATACACATAAAAAAAATAAATCAGAAACAAAAATTTTAAGTTTAGAAAAACATGTATTTAATTTTTAAATAAATAAGAGGAAATTACCTCATCCTTACATATCAGATAAACATGATATTTATAATGATGGAGTGAATGATACAACGAATATAATTGTATTTTCTCCGGATCAACAGCAAACTCCTATAAAAAGAAAAAAGTTTACAGGTACTTTTCCTGGAACATCAGAGCTAAGAATACTTTTGGGAAAATATTAGATCCAAAGTCTCATAATCTGAAAAATGACATTACTAGGTATGAGGCTGTATTAACACTGACAGGAACTTATTCAAAATAAAAGGTTAAATTACATTTTTAAATGTTCACTTTTTTGGGGGGGGGGTTCTTTTTGAGACAGGGTCTCCTTGTAGTCCCAGCTGTCCTCAAACTCACAAAGATCCGCCTGCCTCTGCCTCCCAAGTTCTGGGATTAAAGGTGTGCGCCACCACGCCCACCAGATGTTCACTTTTTTTTTGGTCTTTTTTGAGACAGGGTTTCCCTGTAGCCCCAGCTGTCCTGGAACTCACTATGTAGACCAGGCTGGCCTTGAACTCACAAAGATCTGCCTGCCTCCCAAGTGCTGGGATTAAAGGCATGTGGCGCCATGCCCAGCTAAATGTTCACTTTTTAATCCTATTATGAGTTCAAGCTATTTGGGGGAAAAAACTAGCATAGAAATTTTAAAATAAAAACACGTAAGATTACTTGTAAAGTAAAAGCTTTCTTCCTTCTTTCTTTTTCCTTTCTCTCTTGAAATAGGGAGGGTCTCTTGTAGCTGCGGCTGGCTTTGAACTCATCTTCCCATATTTGCTTCCCAAGTACTGGGATTATAAGCATGTAGTTAATGAGCATGAACTACCATTCCAGGCTCATAGTAAAAGCTTCCTATTTATCTGGCTTCAGAGATAAATGGGAAGAAAAATGAGAGGCCTTGCTCCCTAGGCCAGAAGTGCTCATCCAACCCCTAAAGACTTCACACCATTGACAACAAAGGAAATTATCTGCTTGTCTTAGGTGGTTTCAGTAGCAAGTATGTAACAACTGGAAAAAGACATGTTTACTAAGCAATATGAACTTACTTGTGAAGATTTAGTGGTTGTTTTAGAAGTCCTTAGCGTTTTCTTATTATAAGCTTTGCCATTCATTTTGATTTTAGGAATTGCAGATCCTCCACTTTTTGCTTTAGACTCTCGAGTAATAATTGTTAGTTCAGGAAAACTTTCCAAAGCATTCTTTAAAATAAGAATAATAACTGACATTAGAAGAAAACTAACCTGAACTTCTAGCAATTCCAATTCATACACACATGCAAAAACATACATGTTGGTGGTTAGTGATGGGATGTAACTGATATATATACACACATATACAATGAAGGTAGGACACAGACATGCTCACAAATTCTTTGCATATTATCCCATGAGATGGGGACTGTTTCCCCATACTTTGAATTTGGGCCAATTACATGACCTATTTTTTTTATATATATTTTATTTATCATTTTTATTTTATGTGTATGAATGTTTTACCTATATGTATGTGAGTGCACCCATGTTGTGTGATGCCGCAGAGTTCAGAAGAGAGCTTTGGATTCCCCTGGAACTGGAGTTAAGGACAGTTTGTAGCTGCCATGTGGGTGCTGGGAATCAAACCCGGGTCCTCTGCAAGAGCAATCAGTGCTCTTAACCGCTGAGCCATCTCTCCAGCCCCATGACCTAATTTTTGACTTTTTGAGATGGGGTTTCCTTGTAGCCTTAGCTGGCCTGGAACTTGCTATGTAGACTGGGCTGGCCTTGATTTCAGAGATCCGCTTACCTCTGCCTCCCAAATGCTGGGATTAAAGGTGTGTGCCATCACACCTGGCTTTTAAATTTTTTGGAGTTTATTTTTATTTTATGTGCATGAGTGTTTTGCCTGCATGTATGTAAGTGCACTGGTGTTGTGCAATGCCTACAGAGGACAGAAGAGGGAATCAGGTCTGCTGGAATTGGAGTTCTGGATGCTTGTTAGTCGCCATGTGGGTCTTGGAAACTGGTTCCTCTGGAAGTGCTTTAAACTGCTGAGCCATCTCTCCAGCAAGACCTGATTTTTAAACTTCACATTTATATATAATGGGTGTACCAGGGATGCCATGACATGTGTGAAGAGGTCAGAGGGCAATGTTCAGGAACTGGTTTGACCTGAGTATTTTTTAAGCAATAACATACACTATGCTGATGGAACAACTGGATTATTTCTAGTAAGTAACAGAAATAATCTCAGTTCAAAATAGGGTTATATGCATTTCTTCAAAGCTCATACCACTTAAACCATGGTTAATACTCTCAACTGGATTTTAGTTTTTGTTGTTTGGTTTTTTGTTTGTTTTGACACAGGGTCTCCTTGTACCCTGGCTGGCCTGGAACTTGCTATGTAGACTAGGCTGGTCTTGAATTCCCAGAGATCTACCTGCCTCTGCCTTCAAGTGCTGGGATTAAAGTGTGTGCCACCATGTTTGGCTGATACCCTGAACTGGAAGCAGCAACTACAAAGAAGTCATCAGATCCTGAATGAGGATGAGGACAAAGGCTATCTAGAAGCACTGCCATGGTTTTCCAGCTTCACTTTGCTTGATTCTTTGGACTGCACAAAAAGGATTAGATCCCAAGCCAGAGCTTGGTGGGTATACTGACCAGAAAGATGTGGAGCTACCACTAATAATGTAGTGGCCACATGGCAGAACCATTACCAGTCTATTCTTTAAAGGCCACTGACATATACGCCCTTACCTGCTTGATAAGTCATAGTGACCTACAAAGCTGCACGTAACAGAATAATGCTTGTGGAGAAACTTAACTGCTTTGCCTATGGTTTTATAAAACTAGATTTAGCTACCAGCATCATTTCTTCTTTTGCAATAAAGAGTTAAATACTGCCATTATATTTACATGCATGTAAGAATGAAGTTCATGTGATAAGCTTAACTGTTACAACCTTCATGACCGTCTTTGCCAAACTCATGGTTTCCCCACACTAGTAGGGTAGCTCTGAAGACAGTGCATTGTAGATACAAATTTTTCTTAGGTCTAAGTGTAGCAGGGAACTGCCATTTGGTAATACACAATAAAACTTCTGGCATATCTAACAAAGTGAGCTACCATCAATTTCTAGTTCATTCCTTCCTCAGGTTATTTGTGCTTTTATTATACTCTGGTGCTTTGCACTTAAAACACACCCTACTCTAATAATTCTGGCTCTAGAATTGTTATTTTTACCTGCTAATTATAACAAATGGAATTTAAAGGTGAAAAATGAATTCCAAATTTGAAATCCACTAGGTCAACAGAGATGAAAGAAAACTGAATTATTTAGTGAGCACAAAATACTAATCTTAGAATGTGGAGTTTTGGCAGAGCATCACTAACTTCAGAAGGCTTCAGGACTCAACTTTTCTTTTTTTTTCTGTGGCCCTAGTTGGCTTGGAACTCGCTATGTAGACCAGGTGGCCTCCATCTCTCAGAGATCAACCTGCCTCTACCTTCGAGTGCTGGGCTTAAAGGCGTACACCACGATGTCTGGAAGGACTTACTTTTAAAGTCAAATTCATTATGGCAATTTTTTCTTCCCTGTACTGGAGTTTGAACCCAGAACCTCACATGTCTTAGGCAAGCACTCTGCCATTGAACTATATATATTCCTAGCCCTATATTACTTATTTCTTTTGTTAGTTTTTGAGATAAATCTCACTCTGCAGGTCAGGCTGACTTGGAACTCATGGTGATCCTCCTGCCTCAGGTTCTTTAATGCTGGGATTACAGGAGTGAGCAGATGTTCAGCTGGTGCTAGTTATTTCTAAGGGAGAGAAAACCTTTAAATATTTTAAGTATTTTAATGCTGAGTGTGGTGGCACATGCCAGCCTGGTCTCTATAGTGAGTTCCAGGCCAGCTGGGACTACAGGGAGACCCTGTCTCAAAAGACACACACACACAAAAATATACACTTGAAGCTTTCTTAATCTATTTAAAGTATTTTATTTCAAAATTTTAACAGAGGCTGGAGAGATGACTCAGCGGTTAAGAGCACTGCCTGCTCTCGCAGAAGATCTGGGTTCAATTCCCAGATCTGAATTTCAGTATCCACATGGCGGCTACCACCCATACCTCCAGTTCCAGGGGAATCTGATGCCCTCTTCTGACCTCTGCAGGCATTGCATGACACAGGTACACTTACATACATGCAGACAACACACTCAATGCATATAAAAATAATAAATTAAAAAATTTTAAACTTTTTATACAAATGTATACTGTTACCATCGATGAAGAAAAAGAACTTTCTCCAAGTAGACATCATCAAATGGTTCTAGGGGTTATATGCTTTGAATATGATAATTTTTCTGAGTTGCGATGATCTTTTGGTTCCATATTTCAGATAACACTAATACCAATTTATGTTGTAAAAATATATTAACAGTGATAACTATAATTGATTTTCCTGCCTCCACCTTCCAAGTATTAGAATTATTAAGTGTGTACCACTGCATGTAAGTTTTCAAAAAGCAAATAAGGAAAAAAGGAAAGTAAGATTTGGATATGGGGGCTGGAAAATTGCTCGGTGGTTAAGAGCACTGGCTACTCTTGCAGAGGATTCAGGTTTGATTCCCAGCACCCACATCGTGGCTAACAACCATCCTTAACTCCAGTACCAGGGGTCTGGTGCCCTCTCTGGCTTCCATGGGCACTGTACAACATGGAGCATACATGCAGGCAAAACACTCATACGCATAAAATAAAAAAATTTTAAAAGGGGAAATTTTTTTTCCTGCTTCAAATATATGTCTAATCACATAAATTTTGTGAACATACATTTACATCTGTAATTCTTTTTTAAAAATAATTTATTGAGAATTTCATACATGTATATAAGGTGTTTTGATCAAATCCATGCCCGCTCCCTCCCCTCCAACTCCTCCCATATCTCCCCATCACTTTTTTTTTTGATAACTCCATGTACTCTTTCTTCTTCTTTGATTTTTTTTTTTTTAAATGGGGCTTTTGGCTACTCTAACATTTCCCTCCCCCTCTGAAGAGATAACCCTAAAATCTTTAAAGATTAGAAAAAAGTTCTATAAGGGGAAATTTTTAAAAAAGATTTGAGTATGAGTGCTTAAGGGACTTACTTTTGGAAAACATGAAAAATTTTTATACAAAGAGTGCTACATAAACCAATACCTAAAAAATGAATTTAAACACAAACCACTGAAAATACCAAGGTAAACAGACTCATAATAATAAACAAGTCTTGTTACATAAAAAAAAAAAAAAATTTGCAGACCTGAGAATGACTTCCATAAATCTGTCCTCCCTATTTGCCTGGGACTCTGACTGGCATGGCGGCTTGCTAATAAATCATCTAAAGTAAGTACCTTGAAGGACTGATCCAGATGAAGATTCAGAAGAAGTCTTTTCCGGTTATCATTTAGCATTCCATCTATTTTTTTCATATGAGGTAAAAGTAGCTCATCTGAAATAACAATTTATTTTAATAGGATAAACATTTGCGTATTAAAAGACATTAAATTCATTGGCTTATGTAAAACTCAGCGTCCAAAAAATGGGCATTGACTTTCAGAACAAAGGTCAGCCTGAAAAGTAGGTTTATTATAATGGAATATGGCAGCTTATCATGATAACCAGATGCACTGCAAAATTCTGTATTTTTGCTCAACTAACAAATGGACAGACAGCAAGTTTACCACTAGGAAGATGACTAATTTCTCTAGATCTCATTTATCATCTGATGATGGAGCTCAGTTCTGCAGAAGGTGAATCAAAGACAAGATAGAGTCCAGATGTCTCTCGAAAACAAGAGAATGTTTGGACACTGAGGGAACACCGCCTCCCAGAGTCAAGGGCAGAGCACTGCCTTGGGATAGTAAGAATGATAGTGGATGGGCTTGTGTTTTCCTTTCTCTTGGATTGGAGTTCTGGGAAAGGGTTTGGTTAGTAACAGAAAAGAAAAACACCCTTGACTTTGAACTTTGCTTGATTAATGTTTTGCACACTGTATCCTTGACTGACCCTGCTCATTAGGTATAAAGAGCCACTCTTAGAATTAAACTGGCCTTTCTCCACCTGAGTGAGAATCTGGTCCTTTTCCTTCAATCATTTCACTGCCCACCAGCAGACCTGAGTCTCTACAATCTGAAAATTAGTACTATAAAATACAAACTGGTCTAACATTATAACATTTCACAAAACACTGAGTATGGTCAAGCATGTGTCTTTTGGCAGTGCTAGAGGGGCTTTGCACATACAAATTAAGTGTTCTGTTACTGAGCTACATCCCCCACTCTGAAATATTCTTAATTCACTGTAATTTCAGGCAAAGAAAAAGCAGGGGAAGAAAAATAATCATAACCCAGTGTAAAAAATATAGGGATAAGGGGGCAGCGAGATGGTTTGACAGGTAAAGCACTTGCCAGGAAAGTGTGGCGATCCAAGTTCAATTGTTGGAACATATAACTCCACAAACTTGTCCTCTGACCGCCACACACAAAAATATATAAAATAAACAGCTGGGTGTAGTGGTATACACCTTTAATCCCAGCACTTGGGAGGCAGAGGCAGATCTCTGTGAGATAGAGGCCAGTCTGTCAGGGGTTACAGGGAGACCCTGTCTCAAAAAGACAAGGAAAAAAAAATTATACATATATAAGCCAAATGTTTATTTAGAAAAGGAATGTATCAATATTAACAGTAATAAGTTACTTTTGGTACTATATTAAATACCTTATCCTTTTAGACTATAAATTTTGAGCACAGTAATATACTTCATGATATTAATTTCCTTCAATGATCTAACTGAAAATATAAATTACCCTAAGAATCTCGGTTATAAACTTTAAAAATTAATGTCTACATATCTGGAATGCAGATACAAGCAGAGTAACCTGGGAAAGAAAACTTTCTTACATAAAGAAGACTTTGCTGGGGAACACTTTCTAAGGTTGTTGCAACACCTGAAGTCTTACTGATATCTTATTAACAGAGATTAAATCTATTTAAATACTAAATTTATCTTTCAGAAAACTTTAAACATTGCAAATTATTTTTAAGTATAATCATGTAAATTTCCTTTACCCCTTAATATATAAAAGGAATAAAAACTAGAAAACACTGATGATAAAACATCAATAGCAACAAAAGAAAAAACATTTAATAGCAAAAATATTGATTTGAGGAGATAACCAATTACAGAAAGTATCACTAAAGGAAGCATAAAAGGAATACTACTAATCAGTTTAATTCAATGCATATATTGGTTTCATTTTTAGGTACTAGGAATTGAACCCAGAGCCTCAAGAATGCTGGGCAAGAGCTCTACCACTGAGATATTTCTCTAGCCCCATATATTTAATAATAATTCATTAGAAAATAACTTCTCTTAAATGTGCCTTTTACTGAGGATACAAACATACACTTTGAATCCTAACACCAGTATTATCTGGTTCATCTTTTTTTTTTTTTTTTTCTTTTTTTGTCTTTTTGAGACAGGGTCTCCCTGTAGCCCCAGCTGTCCTGGAACTCACTATGTAGACCAGGCTGGCCTTGAACTCAGAGATCCGCCTGCCTCTGCATCCCGAGTGATGGACTTGAAGGCATGAGCCACCACGCCTGGCTGGTTCATCTTTCTTAGAACTAGAAAGCAGAATATATTGACATATGGCCTTCCCATATAATACATTAGTAAAACTATCAATGAGGATAAAGTATAGAATTGAAAGAAACAAATGATTATATAATTTTCCTACAACTAGAAAGCAATAAAATACATTCAATATAAAGTTGTTATATTCAGACAATGTATGAGCATGTGAATACTTTCAGGAATTAAGATATGAATGTAAGACAACTTATATATTACATACATAACATTAATAAACACATAACAGGCAAGAATTTTTTTTTAAGTACAGAAAGCACTACACCAAGAAAGTGCTCTTTAGCAAGCCATACCATTGCTCTTCTCTAAGGCTTGCATCGTGTCAGGATCCAGGGCAATGCTAACAAGCAATTCCATGTAACTCTTGAAAGTTTCCTTCATTGCCCTCGTGTTCAGAAAACGAGTGACAAAGGGAGCTGGAGGATCAAATTCTAGGATGAAGAAAAGATAGGATACTAAATTGTTCCCTCTTGACAATTTTTGAGAGTGGTTTTCACTATGTAGCTCTGGCTAGCCTGCAACTCCCTATATAAGACAAGCTGACCTGGAACTCAACAGAGATCCACCTGCCTCTGCCTCACAAGTGCTGGGATTAAAGGCATGGGCCACCACATTGAGCCCTTCCTGACAATTTTTAATAATTTCCTCTGCAACAGGAGCCTATAAACAAGTAAAAGATTGAAGACACAAATTTTTCCCATTCATTTCTCCTTTAAAAACACCTGAGGTGGGGTTGGGGAGATGGCTCAGTCTACAAAGTGCTTCAGATTCCTAGTACCCAAGTAAAAAGCCGGTTGTGTTGGTGCACACCTTTAATCCTAGTGCTGGGAAAATAGACAAGAGGATCCCTGGAACTTGCTAGCCACCTACTCTTGCCCAGTCAGTAGGCTTAAAGTTCAGTGAGAAGCCCTATCTCAAGAGAAGATGGTGGGGCTGGAGAGATGGCTCAGCTGTTAAGAACACTGGTTGTTCTTGCAGAAGACCCAGGTTCGTATCCCAGCACCCACATGGCAGCTAACAACTGTCCTCAACTCCACTCCCAGGGGATTCAACAGCCTCTCCTGACCTCCGTGGGCACTGCATGACACGGGAGCACTTACCTACATGCAGGCAATACATGCATACACATAAAACAAAAATAATAAAGTTAAAAAAAAAAAAAAGGTGCTGGAGAGATAGCTCAGCAGTTAAGAGCACTGACTGCTCTTGCAGAGGACCTGGGTTTGATTCCCAGCACCCACATGGCAGCTGTGAACCGTCCTTAACTCCAGTTCCAGGGGAAGCCAAAGCCCTCTCCTGACCTCTGCAGCACTGCACGACACAGGTGCACAGGTGCACGACATACATGCAGGCAAAACACTCATTCACATAAAATAAAAATAATAAATATTTTTTTAAAAAAGAGAGAAGGTGGGGAGCAACTGAGGAAGACACCAGACATCAAACTCTGGTCGACTCATACACCTGTGTACTGGCACGTACACATGAATACCTAGGGGTGCATCCTAGTACGTGGGAGGTGGAGCTAGGAAGATCAGGCATTAATGGTCATCATCAGCTACTTAAGAAGTTTGAGGTCAGCCTTGGATATAAGACACTGGGGAAAAAAATCACCTCAGGTGAGTGGGGGGGTGGGAGAGGGAGAGGGAGAGAGGGAGAGAGGGAGAGAGGGAGAGAGAGAGAGAGAGAGAGAGAGAGAGAGAGATAGAGAGAGAGAGAGAGAGAGAGAGAGAGAGAGAGAGAGAGAGATTCTCACAATCACTATAGAGCCTGTTGAGTCTTGCTTTTGTTTTGCAGCAGAGTTTTGCATGGTAGCCTAGGGCTAGCCTCAGACTCTCAGCAATCCTCAAGCATCAGCTTCCCAAGTGCTGAGATTACAGGTGTGAGCCACCACACCGGCAGTTTTAAAAGTAGAACAACCAGAGCAGTAGCTTTCTGAAACCGAACCTTCGGTGGTGGTAGGGTTAAGAATGGTATTAAAGTTTAAACATATTAAAAGCTTTCTAGGTGATTGTGAGACCTGGTCCACTGCAGCATCTGACAAGCAGGCCAGGTGGGAAGAAGTTTCTCTTCTGATGTCCCACAGCTCAGACATCTAGTGCCAGCTTGAGCTGTAGTAGGGATGGCTGCTTTGTATTTAGTTGCACAAGACAACTAGGAATTTAGTTTGTTTTTTTTTTCCTATTTTTACACTTAAAATTACTATGGAATTCTAGTTTATGACATGCTTTAAAAGTTTTTAAATGCAGATGCTGGAGAGATGGCTCAGTAGTTAAGAGTCTTGGCTGTTCTTGTAGAGGACCTGGGTTTAGTTCCCAACACCCATGTGACAACTACCAATCATCTGTAATGCCAGTTCCAAGGGATCCAAACCCCTCTTCTGGACTCCTTAGGCTCTTCATGCACACAGTGCACTTACATGCAGCCAAAACACTCATATATGTAAAATAAAAATTCTTTTTACATAGCCCAGGTATATAGGAAATGGCACTTAAATTCAATATCAAGAACTGCAGGCTTAAGTGGGCATGGTGGCACATGGCTGTAATCCTAGCGCTGAGAACGTGGTGCCAAGACTGAATTTAAGGCCATGCTCAGCTGAGTAAGTGCACTGGGGGCCACCCTGGTCGCCTAAGATCCTGTCTCACAAAATAAGCAAACAAAGGTTAAAAGACTGGCTATAAGCCAGGTGTGGTGGCATATTCCTTTAATTTCAGCACTCAGGAGGCAGAGGTAAGCAGAGCTCTGTGAGTTTTGGGCCAGCCTGGTCTACGTATTTTCAGGCCAGCTGGGGCTATAAGGAGACCCTGTCTCAAAACTCAGTTTTGACCCTCCCCCCTTTCTTTGCATCCAAATAGATAACCATTATCAGGCAATTTTTGTTGTTGTTGCTTTTTGTTGTTTTGTTTTTGTCTTTTTGAGACAGGGCCTCCTATAGTCCCAGCTGGCCTGGAACTCGCTATGTCCAGGCTGATCTCAAACTCACAGAGGTCTGCCTGCCTCTGCCTTACCAGTGCTGAGATTAAAGGTGTGTGTCACCACACATGGCTTTCTTTTGCTTTTTTGAGACAAGGTCTCATTGTAGCTCCAGTTAGCCTGGAACTCGCTACTAGACCAGGCTGATTGAGATCCTCTTGCCTCTGCCTCCCAAATGTACCACTACATTTCAGCTATCAGACAGTTTTTAGACTATGCCCAAAACTTAGAATGGTCTCTAATGTCAAGGCTATTTTCATGATAATATTAAGATGTTATTGACAGGGAGACCCTGTCTCAAAAAGAACCCCCCCCCCCCCCCAAAAAAAGGGGTTGTGAATTTTTTTCCTTTTGCTGATATCTATAAAAATAATACTTTATAAAAACATCTCCAACTACAATAGTAGTTATTATTATGTATGCCATGTCACTGCTATGTCCTGCAAGGGGGGAAAAAGCTATTCTCACTTAAGACCAGCTCTTGACAAATTCATTAACTTTGATAAGAAAACAAATTTCATTAACTCTCTACTCTTGAGTAAATGTGGGTATTGTTATTTTTATTTTTTGTCTTTTTGAGACAGGGCCTCCTTGTAGCTCCAGCTGGCCTGGAACTATGTAGACCAGGCTGGCTTTGAATTCACAGAGATCCGCCTGCCTCTGTTTCCCAAGTACTGGGATTAAAGGCGTGCACCACCACACCAGGCTGTTATTTTTATTTTTAAAAAATATTTTATTATTATTTTTATTTTATGTGTATGAGTGTATTGTCTGCATGTATGTAAGTGTACCTGAGTCGTGCAATGCCCATGAAGGTCAGAGGAGGCATCGGATCCCCTGGAGCTGGCATTAAGGATTTATAATCTTATAATCTTTATAATCTCAGTTTTTGGGAAGTGGAGGTATAAGAGGATCAGAACGTTAAGGTCATCTTCCCATACAAAGTGAGTTCATAGCCATACTGTAAACTGGATAGCTTCCTATCAGTGAAGGGTCTCACAGATGAGTTCAGTGATGGAATTACTGATTCTGTCTTGTTTTGGGTTTTGGTGGTATTGGTGACTGAATCCAGGGTTCCACACTAGGCAAATGCTCTACCATTGAGCCCTGAATGTTATTTTTGAATATTCTAAATGAAATATAATCTAAATATAAAACTCTTACAAGAAAATATAGGAGATTTTAAATCTTCATTACCTGGAATTTGGCGATGGATTTTAAATATGGCAGCAAAAGCACAAGAAACAACAGAAATAAATTGGGCTTCATTAGAATTAAAGCAAATAAAAAGACAATTTAGAGAATGGGATGAAGGATTTTCAAATCATACATACAAATTAAGTTTTAAAATCCAGAATATAGCCAGGCATGATGAAGCACGCCTGCAATCTCAGCACTTTGTAGAGGCAGGGGATCAGGAGTTCAAGACCATCTGGGCAGTCTCAAAAAACAAAAGCAAACAAAAAATTTTAATCTGGAGATAAATATAAATGTAAAGAACTCCTACAACTTAGCAACAAAAAGACAAGGTACGACTTCAAATATAAAGCAGGCTATAGATTTGAATAGACATTCCTGTAAGGAACATATACAAATAACTAGTAGGCACTCACATAGTCATTCAGCCATTAGGGAAATGCAAATCAAAACCACAGTAAGGGCCAGTGCGATGGCTAGGCCAGAAAAGCCACTAGCTGCCAAGCCTGATGACATGAGTTCAACCCCCAGCACCCACATGGTAGAGAGAACAGACTCCTACATGTTGATGTCTGGCCTCCACATGTGTACCATGGCACATGCTGTAATACCTTGAAAACATATAAAGATTTACCTTGAAAACATATAAAGTCAGAAAAGCCAGACACAAGAACAGAAATACATGACTCCATGTATACAGGAAAATTCACATAAAAATCTTGTTAGAGAGTCCAGTAAGATGGCTCAGCAGTTAAAGGTGAGCATCACACACAAACAAATGAACAAACAATACATTAAAATGTCAAAAAGAGATTATAGCAATTGGAGTAGGGAAGATGGGGAGCTATTGCCCAATGACTGCATACTATATGTTTGGGATGATAAGGTTTTAATGCTACTAAATTACACACACTTAAAAATTGTTAAAACCAGCAAAATTTATGCAAAACTTTTAAAATGTAAAATAATGAAATGCATGAATTTTCTGAAGATTTTCATCACTAGGTTAGCTAATATTTCCACATGACCAATATGCAGAATGAAACCCTGACAGATGAAAGATACAAAGAGCAAGACAAACCAGCAGCTATTAACATAACAAAGCAGGAGCAGCTTAAGAAACTACTGTCAACTTTTGAGCATTAAACAGCCATAATTATCTGGAAAGACATTTAAAATATTGTTCTTCCCAACAACATACTTGCATGATTCTGGGTTCTCTTAATATACCCTAATCAAAATAACACATAACAAACAGAATGCAGAACAGATATAAAAATGGCACTCATTGTTTTACTAAGTAGTATACTTTTGTCAGGCGTGGTAGCACACGCCTTTAATCCCAGCACTCAGGCAGAGGCAGGCAGATCTCGGTGTATTCCAGACCAGCCTGGTCTCCTACATAGTTCCAAGCCAGCCAGGGTTACATAGTGAGTCCCTATCTCAAACCTCGCTTCCTCCCCAAATTAACCAACAGCAAATATCAATGATATTCATTACGTTAGTAAGTAGTAATTTAATATTTTTAAATTTTTATTTATTTTATGTATATGAGTGTATTGCTTGCATGTGTGTAAGTGCACCCTTGTCATGCAATGCTTGCTGAGTTCAGAGTGTGTTGGATCCCCTGGAACTGGATTTACAGTTGTTAACCACCATGTGGATGCTAGGAGTCGAAACTGGGTCCCCTGCAAGAGCAGCCAGTGCTCTTAACCCCTAAGCCATCTCTCCAATCCCCTTTTAAGTGTTTTTAAATTTTGCTTTAACTGCTACTTTGTAAATATAAATAGAGATAGCCTTGATAAGCGAAAGTATTTGGAATCTTCAATGCACTTGGAGACTATAAAAATATTCTGAGGGGCTGGAGAGACGGCTTAGCAGTTAAGAGCTCTTGCTACTCTGGCTGCTCTTGCAAAGGACCCAAGTTTGTTCCCAGCACCCACATGATAGCTAACAACTATCCGTTAACTCCAGTTCCAGATCAGGCATGTTTTTCTGGCCTCTGCATGCATATGGTATAGTTATATATAATCAAGCAAAACACCATACACATAAACGTAACAAAATATTTTTTTAATTTTGAAAGAAAAAGTTAAAAAGTTATCACCATGAGCCTGTGAGATGGTTCAGTGGGTGCTACCAAGCATGGTAACCTGAGTTCAATCCCTGGGACTGACTCCCAAAAGCTGTCCCCTAAGCCCACATACATGCTATGGCCCATGTGCATACACATACACACACACACGCACACACACACAAATTTTAAAAAATCTCCAGCATATAAACCTATATTACTATAGGTATTTGACTTTTTTTGGGGGGGTGGGGGGTTCTTTTTGAGTAGCTGCACCTGGCCTGGATTCGCTATGGAGACCAGGCTGGCCTCGAACTCACAGAGATCCGGCTGCCTCTGCCTCCTGAGAGCTGGGACTAAAGGCATGCACCACCATGCCCGGCTGACTTTTAAAAAAAATTTTATGTATTATTTTATGTGTATGAGTGTATTGCCTGCATGTGTGTAAGTGCACCTGTGTTATGCAGTGCCCGGGGAGGTCAGAAGAGAGTGTCTGATCCCCTGGAACTGGAGTTATGGACAGTTGTTAACTGCCATGTGGGTGCTAGTAATCGAACCCAGGTCTTCTGCAAGAGCAGTCCATGCTCTTAACTGCTGAGCCATCTTTCAGGCGAGTATTTGACTTCTTAAAAGGACTGAAAAATGCTTAACTACTAGTGACATCTAGTGGTCATTCAAATTAGTGCATGGAAGAAAATTTTACCTTGTCACTCAGAACCCAAGTCCCCAATGCTAAGGAGCATGTAGGACAGCTAACCGCAAAAAGTACAAATAATGCCTTCAATACATATAAAGGCCCTAACCTTCCTTATAAATGCTGATGTATATACTTCTATCTTAATCTTTATGTGTGTGTATGTACTCACGAGGGTCTCATAGCACACATGTGGAGATCAGCAGACAATTTTAGGGAGTTAGTTCTCTCCTTCCACCATGTAGATTCCAAGGAACAAACTCAGGTCATCAGATTTGGTGGCAAGTGCATTTACATGCTGAGCCATCTCACTGGTCCACCATACATACATTGGTGTATACTTCTAAGTACCAAAAAAAAGCTTTTTAAAAAATTTATTTATTGTGTATGAGTGTATTTCCTGTATATATGTAAGTGCACCTGTGTGTGCAATGCCCAGGGAGACCAGAAGAGGGTGTCAGATCCCCTGGAACTGTAGTTGTGGATGGTTGTTAGAAGCCATGTGGGTGCTGGGAATCAAACCCCAGTCCTCTGCAAGAGCAGTCAGTGCTCTTAACTGCAGAGCAGTCTCTCCAGCCCCAATAAACAGCTTCTTGAAAAATACATTTAAAGTAGACTTCAACACTGAATAATTTTTATTGTGGCTCAAATTCTAATCAAATAACCTCTAATAATATCTCTCAGGCAATGACACTTGTGATTCAAAAACCATCCTACACATCAAGAGCAACCAATTCATCACTTAGGTTCTAAAGATCACACCCCAGCTTCCATCTGTCTCCTTCATTCCTGTCATCACTACTTAGGTTCAGATACAATTTGTGCCTGAAACTATGTCTTATAATTAAAATTCAAATTTCATCATGTTGCCTCCTACTTAAGTCCCTCCAAAGATTCTCCTTTAGATCCCAAGCTTTTGAGCTTTAGTATGGCCTTCCATCTTCCCTTCATCTTTTTTTCTCTTCAACTTTATGTTCTAGAAGAACAATGGTCAGCAAGCTTTCCTGCAGAGAGTCATATGGTAAATATTTTAGGTTTTGCGGGTCACACATCTCTTTAACAACATCTCAAAATTGCCACTGTAGTGCAAAAGCAACCATATGGAAATATATATATATATATATATTTCCAAACAGTATCTGTGTGGCTGTGTTCCAATAAAGTTATTTACAGAAGTAGGCTGGCAATCAGACATGGTCAGCTTCCTTCTGCTCAACTATTTGAAATGTCTTGTATATACCATATTCCAAGTTTTAATAGCTAATGGAATGTGAGATGTGTATTCTTGAATCTATCAATTATATGTTTCAAATTAGAATATGGTAAATATTAATAGATATATTTTATATAAATATCTTATATATACTATAGGAAATATACATTCTATATATTACCATAATGTACCAATTAATTATATTTTGAATTGTTGATTTATTGTTTAGCTTCTTCTTTTCTTCTGGCATAAACACAGACTCAGAAGTTTAAACTAAAGGATTCTTAGTAATCATCTGACTTCTATCTACCAGGTAATTGGCATTCCGAAGGCTAGCACTCACAAAGGTGAGTTTTGCCTTTCCTATTTTACAAGGCTGAATATGAAAGTCAATGTGCTCAGTAGGTATGTTATTTTTACAGAAGCAAAAGGAACCCATTTATAAACCCAATGTGAACTGCCACCATCACTGTGCCCCTCTATTCCCAAAGGCTGCCTGAAAGTTATCAAGGTGTTCACTTCATGGGGAACTCACCCTCATCTTCACTACTGTGAGAATGGACTTCAGGAGATGATTCAGACTGCGATGACGAAAACTCTTCTTTCCATTTCTTCCGTTTCTTTGGTGGTGGCTCAGCCTTTATTTTTAGTTGTTTAACTTTGGGTTTTGTGGAAGAGGCTTTTGCAGTTGTAGTTTTTGATACTGGAGGATCAGAAGTTTTACTACTACTACTTGGCTTAGCCTGAACACTTCTGCAATGTTATAACAAATATGTTATAAACATTAACATATTTAAATCTTGTAAGACTGAAATAAGAAAAAAAGTCATAAGCTCAAACATCTTCACATCAACGACTCCAAAGTCCCTGTCATGTACATCTCAATAGTGACTTCCACAGCATTTCTTGAAATACTTTGTTTTAACAAGAGCACTTATATTTAGCCATTTAATTATTGATTGATTTATTGATTGAGACAGGGTCTCACAACGTATCACTGGCTGGGCTAGAACTCGCTTGTTAGACCAGACTGGTCTTGAACTCACCGAGATCCAGCTGCCTTTGCCTTCAGTCGGGGATTAAAAGCATCCTGGGAGTTAAAGGCATGCACCATCATGCCTAGAGTATATTCAGTTATTAAGGGCTACTAATCTAATCTCTATTCCTCCCACCCACCACCCCTTATAGATTCATTTTCCAGAGAATACGGGGATAAAAGCCAAATCCAGTTCTGACTCTCTGGTGACCTTTAATGAAGAAATCCAAATACATCAACTGAGAACCACTGAATATTTGTCCTATCCTGGATCTAGAAATTTGTGTGGATAAATTCCATCAGCAGCTTCCAATAGGTGATGATCTTAATTAAACTAGATCTGTTTGAGAACAGCCTGAGAATATCTGGGGGTGACACCCACATTTCCATAGACATTAGAGTCAGGTCAGCTAAGCTTCCAGACAACCTAGACACATCAATCTATGACAGGAATTCTACTGTATGTTTATTTAGTAATATACAGGTCTCAGTTTTTCTCAAAAAATTATCTCACTGAAAATCTGACATTCACTTATTATTTTAATTTTATGGATAGAAAAAGGCTTCAGAAAGGTTCTCTGTCACAAAGAGCTAGACTCAAAACATTTTCCTTCTTGTTTTAATCACCACACTAGAGGGCCAAAACAAAGAGGCCACCTACCCCACCACAGAAAACCGTAAGCTTCACGAAGCCCATCTCATGCCTTCAAAAGGAATCATTGTCACAGGAACCGGACTTTCAGTCTCTTCAACTGATGTACTCCTTTGTACAATGACAATACCCAAAATAAGTGTATAAATATATTAATATATTACATAAAACGAATACCTGATAGTTTGTGAAGGTTTATTTCTTGGCTTTTTGGAACATACTCTCACATACTCCTTTTTGTTTGTATTTTCAATGAACTTCACATATATCCTTTTGTATTTAGTCTTTGCATCTCCAAAATATCCAAGGTACTAGGGAAGAAGCATCTTGAATCACATAATTATATAATCTGTACATAAATATTACTTTGTTGGCTTTACTATCAGCTATCCTTCACGTTTTTCAAAATGTAGTCCTGGCCAGGCTAGTTTCACCCTAAATAAAAATGATTCTCTCTCATCTCTCTTTCATACACACACACACACACACACACACACACACACACACACACACACAGGAGTGAAGGGTAGAGAGGTGCTGGAGATTGACCCCAGACCTTGTAAAATCTATACTCCTAGCCCCACGGGTTCATTCTTAACTGTAAGCCAGTCTGTATTGGTTACAGAGGCAATCTCATTTGAACAATGCTTCCTCAAAGCTGTAACAAATAATAAACAAACAAACAAATAAATAAGGCCTGTCAGTCTTCTGGTAACTCAAGATATTTGATTAGTGGAATAATCAATAAGAACCTCTATCTTTACACACTAACACTAATCCTTTTCCTTTCTAAATTAAAAAAATAAAAGCTGGGTGTGGTGGCACACACCTTTAATCCCAGCACTTGGGAGGCAGAGGCAGGTGGATCTCTGTGCGCTCAAGGACAGCCTGGTCTACACAGTGACTCCAGGACAGATGGGGCTACAGAGAGACCCTATCTCAAAAAGCCAAAAAAAAAACAAAAAAAAAAACAATGTAAAGTGATTTCACTTTAAAGATTTATTCTTATTCTTAAGTTATATATATTTTAAGTATATATCTTATTTTAAGTATATATCTGCATGTCTCGGTGGGGGAATGTACACATGAGTACAAGTGGCACGGAGTCCAGAAGATCTGAGATGCCCTGGAGTTGGAGTTACAGACAGTTGTGAATTGCCCTACTATGGTTCTGAAAACCAAGTCAGGTCCTCTGCAAGAACAGTAGGTACTCTTAACCGCTAAGCCACCTCTACATTTCTGTTACTTCATTTTGAAGAGCTGGGATTTACTCACTGCTTCATTTCTAATCACACTATCAGGGTCTCATATGCTACATAGTTCAAAACTTATGCTATTTTCCATTAGAAATAATGTAAATGCATCTAGCCCTAAATCATTCTGTATTTTCCAGAATCATTCTTTTTTTAAATATTTTATTATTTTTATTTTATGTGTATTAGTGTATTGCCTGTGTGTAGGTAAGTACACCCATGTCATGCAATGCCTGCGGTGGACAGAAGAGGCTAGGCTGTTGGATCCCCTGGAACTGGAGTTTCGGACAGTTGTTAGCTGCCATGTGGGTGCTGGGATACGAACCTAGGTTTTCTGCAAGAACAGCCAGTGTTCTTAACCACTGAGCCATCTCGCCAATGCCCCAGAATCATTTTCAAAGTACAGAAAAACTAATGTAACCAAGCATTTTACTTACACTATTTGTAGCTGCAAATTCTCTTTGTCCATCTCGAATTTCAGGAACAAATTTCTGTAACAAAGCTTTCTGCACTTTCCAAATAGCTGGAGGCTCCTTTCCTATTTTTATAGCTTCCTATAAAAAGCAGAATTACACTTATGAAAAATATCAACATGCCTTATATTTCTAGAATTATTATAGCTAAATAAAGAGAATTTTAAAGGCCTACCTACTTCAATTCTTCTTATCTCTGGCTGAGTTTCTACAATCCCCCCCAACCCCTGCCCCACATCACTGGTGCCAAGCCCAAGGCCTTGCATATGCTAGAAAAGTGCTCTGCCAGAAAGTTAAACCTAGCTCCTAGAAATCTATTCATAGTCTCTGTTGAAATTCTTTTAGAAATAAGGAGCTCACTAACACAAAGTATTCCACTGCCCTTTTGTACAGCTAAAATTATTAAAAGACAAACACTACCATCATATCATTTATGTCATTTTATAATGACCAAAACAAATATATGTGTGTGAGTGTTTTGCCTGCATGCATATAAATGTACTACATGCTTGCAGTGCCCACCGAGGCCAGAAAAGGGAATTGGATCTTCCAGAATTGGAGTTACAGATGGTTGTTAGCTGCCATATAGGTGCTGGGAATAAACTTAGGTCCTTTACAAGAGCAGCCAGTGCTCTTAAACACTGTGCCATCTCTCCAGTCCCAAATATACATACTAAAAGCAAATTGTAAACTTTAGGACTATTGATGAATTGACTGTTATGTTCTTCCCTGTTCTATCTAATGCTATTCCTCTCAACACTAATTAAAAACAAAACGAGCAAGCAAACAAACAGCAAAAGCAAACAAAAATCCAAAAATATATTCAGTATGGCTAGGTGGGCACGGGAGCTCACACCTGTTGTCTCAACACTTGGGAGGCTGAGGCCGAGTCAGAACTGCCACTAGTTCAAGGTTAGCATGGACTATGTAGAGAGTACCAGGCCAGCTAAGACTACATAGCAAGATCCTATCTGAAAACACCAAAAAAAAGTATGGCTAAAATTGCTAACAGTTCTACTCATGGTGCTACAATTTAAAATTATAAAATTAAATCTAATTTATATGATAGTCCTGATTTTTTCTTTAAACTTTAAAATTATATAAACAAACCTTTTCTCAAAATTCCTAGTAACATGTTCAGTTGGAAGGCTTGAAAAAAATGAACAAGACTGTTGAAATTTGGGCTTGAGATGGAGTTTAGTTAGTAAAGTGCTTGTCAAGCACAAAGTCCTGCTTCAGTTCCCAGCACTGCATAAAAGTGGGTGAGGTAGCAGATGTCTGAGTGGTAGAGGCTGGAGATCAGGAATTCAAGGTCATCCTCAGCTATATGGATGTTCAAGCCCAGCCTGGGCTATATGAGACTCTGTCTCAAACAACAACAACAATAAATCCTTTTGTAATTAAAGTTACCAAACACAACTGAGTAGTTGGAAATATAAAGCTAAAATGATTTTCACTGATTTCCTTTCTCAAAATATTTGACATCAGCTGGGTGTGATAGCACATACCACAGCACTTTTGAGACTGAAGCCAGGCATGGTGGTGTAGGCCTTTAATCCCAGCACCTGGGAGGCAGAGACAGGTGAATGTCTGTGAGATTGAGGCCCACCTGCTCTACATAGCAAGTGCCAGGCCAGCTGGGGCTACAGACCACCCCCAATTTAATTTTTCTAATGCAAGATAGGTATGCTATTTGAAGTCACCATGAAAATTACCAGATGCACCCCAACTAAACCATGACCTTTACCCCTGGGGCCATTTACATCACATCACCTTAAATGCCTCGATGTCTTCTATTTTTACCACAAATTCATCACGCTCTCTGTATTGGCCTTCTCCTCCACTTTCTGTATTTTCCTCATCTGTAAAACCTTCTATGGCAACAGTGTCCTGTCCTTTTGCAAACTGGTCTGAAGCAAGACCATCAAGTTCGATGGCTACGGGGGGTTCTGTGGAGTTGACACTTTCCAGGATGTTTACTGCAGATGAAGTAGAATGAAGAAGGTCTTGCTTAACTGCACTCACAGTGGTGGAGAAAGCCAGAGCAGTGCCAGTAGTACTGGCCGATGAGCTAGGAGTTACCACTGGTAGAGCTTCTGAAACTAAATCAAGCAAATGCAAATCAGTAATACAAAAAAAAACATTTGTATGTTTTGAGTCTGAAAGGTTTAAGACTCAGTTATTTTTGCAATCAATTGGTTTAAAACAATTACACAGGAGGAAATTAAAGAATGGTTGTTAATCCAAGAATCAAAGATGTGCAAATTAAATCTGGATAAGACAACTTTCGTACAAATCTGCAAGATTTGGTACAAATCTTTTCTGCACACTACATGAAAAGATAATGAAGGAAATTTTTTTTGTAAAATTTTTATTAAATTTTTGTGTAGCTCATACATAACATCTTTGTCTTTTTGGAGACAGGGTCTTCTTATAGCGCCAGCTATGTAGACCAGGCAGGCCCTGAACTCACAGAGATCCACCTGCCTCTGCCTCCCAAGTGCTGGGATTAAAGGCATGTGCCACCACAACCAGCTCACATCTTAATCATTTTTTAAAAAAATATTTTCATTTTATGTGTGTGAGTGTATTGCCTGCATGTGTCTAAGTGTACCTGTATTGTACAAGGCCCATGGAGGTCAGAAAGTTGTGTAGAATCTCCTGGAACTGGAGTTAACAGCCTGTTTTTAGCCACTATGAGGATGCTGGGCAAACCTGGGTCTTTTGCAAGAGCAGTCAGTGCTCCTAACCGCTGAGCCATCTCTCTAGCCCCCACCTTCATCTTTTTTTTTTTTTTTTTTGAGACAGGGTCTCCCTGCAGCCCCAGCTGGCCTGAAACTGTGTAGATCAGGCTGGTCTTGATCTCAGAGATTCGCCTGCCTCTACCTCCTGAATGCTGAAATTAAGGTGTGCGCCACTATGCCCAGCTCATTTAAAAAATTTTTATACCCCCTCCCCGATTAGCACACATCCCTAGCCCCCACCCTCAGAATTCATGCATTCTGTCATTTGTGTTAAAGCCTATTGTCAAAGATAATTAAAAAAAAATTAAATTTGGAGACCGGGTGTGGTGGCGCATGCCTTTAATCCCAGCACTTGGGAGGCAGAGGCAGGTGGATCTTTGTGAGTTCCAAGGCCTGCCTGGTCTACATAGTGAGTTTCAGGACAGCAGCGGCTACAGGGAGACCCTGTCTCAAAAAAATAAATAAATAAGTATAAATAAATAAAGAGAATTTTTAAAAAATTAAATTTGGGGGGGGCTGTAGAATTTCCTCCATTGGATTGGCCTGCAGCCATGTCTGTGGGGCATTTCCTTGGTTGATGAGTGATGTGGGAGGGTCCAGTCCACATGGGCAGTGCCACCACAAGGCAGGTGGTTCTGTGTCGTGTAAGAATGTAGATTGCACAAAGGCTGGAGGAGCAAGCCAATAAGCAGCATTCCTCTACTGTCTGTGCTTTAGATCCTGCTTCCAGGTTCTTACCCTGAGTTCCTGCCTTGGCGTCCCTTGATGATGGACTGTGAGCTGTAAGCCAAATAAACCCTTTCCTACTCAAGCTGGTTTGGTCAGTGTTTTTAATCATAGCAATAGAAAGTAACTAATATACCTGGGAAGAGAGAATTGCAATTTAGGAATTTTCTCCATCAGATTGGCCTGGGGAGGCGTTCCTCAATTCCTGCCTCATTTTTTTCCTTGAGTGCCTGTGTTGGCTTCCCTTGATAATGGACTGTGAGCTGTAGGCCAAATAAACCTTTTCCTCTCCAAGTTTCTTTTGATCAGTGTTTTGCTGTTTTAAAAAGTGGATTTATTTTGTGAATGAATGTTTTCCCTGCATGTAAGCTCATCTGTACATACAATGCCCATAGAGGCCAGAAGAGGGTGTCAGATCCCCCAGAGCTAGAGTTATAGACAGTTGTTAGCTGCTGTGTGGGTGCTGGGATTGTAACCCAGGTCCTCTGCAAAAGGAGTCAGTGCGCTTACCTGCTAAGCCATCTCTCCAGCCCCTGGTCAGTATTTTATCACAGCAATAGAAAACAAACTAGGACAGAGACACACAAAAATGACAGAAAATAAGAAAGGGTCAGATAACCAAAACTCCAACTGCTGAGCCATCTCTCCAGCCCTTCTTTTTCTTTCTTTCTTTCTTTTTTTTTTTTTTTTTTTTTTTTTTTTTTTTGAGACAGGGTCTCCCTGTAGCCTCCGTTGGCCTGAAACTCACTGTGTAGACTGGCCTCTATCTCACTGAGATCCACCTGCCTCTGCCTCTCCCTCTGCCTCCTGATTGCTGGGATCAAAGCTGTACACACACACACACACACACACACACACACACACACACACACAGAGCACCCCCCTCAGCTAACAGCTTTATTCTAATAACAAAACTAGTCCCAAAAAATCATGAGAAAACTACAGACCAATATCCCTAATGATATAAACACAAAAACTTCAACAAAAATAATAGAGTGAATTCATCAACATATAAAGAATAATGCAAAGGTTGGATGTTGTAGCTCAGTGGTAGGGTGCATGCCAGCAGACAAAAGCCCTGATTTCAATCCACAGCACTAAAAAGTCAAAGTAAAAGAATCATATAATTACAACCAAGTGTGGGAAAAGAAAATGTGGTGTATATATAAACAATGGTGTTTTACTGAGTCAGAAAGAATGAAATCATGTTAAGAAATATAAGCCAGGCTCAGAAAACAAAACAAAACAAAACACAGTTTCTCTCACATGTGGAAATTTATATAAGTGTGAAGATAGCTCAGTTAGTAATGGCAAGGACCTGAGTTCAATACCTAGAAACCATAATAAAAGGGGCTGGAGAGATGGCTCAGCAGTTAGGATAACTGGCTATTCTTGCAGAGGACCCAGGATTGGTTGCCAATACCCACACGGCCCCTTACAACTGTCCTTAATTTCAGTTCCAGGTGATCTGACACCCTCTCCAAACCTCGAAGGACACCAGGCACACATGTTGTGCACTTACATACATGGAGGCAAAACAAGTATATACATTAAAAAGAACAAAAACAAAAAACTGGGTGTGACGGTACACACCTCTAATCCCAGCACTTGGGAAGCGGGCAGATCTCTGTGAGTTCAAGGCCAGCCTGGTCCATGTATGAATTCCAGGCCAGCCAGTGGTAATAGTGAGACCCTAGTCAAGAAAGAAAGAAAGGAAAGAAAGGGAAGAAAGGAAGAAAAGAGGAAAGGAGGAAAGGAAAGGAGGAATGAAGGAAAGAAAAGAAAGAAGGAAGGAGGGAGGGAGAGAGAGAAAGAAAAAGAGAGAAAGAAAGAAAGAAAGAAAGAAAGAAAGAAAGAAAGAAAGAAAGAAAGAAAGAAAGAAAGGAAAAGAAAAGGCAGCCAGGTGTAATGATTATGTACCTGTAATTCCAGTCCTGGGGAGGCAGAGATAAGCCAATCCCTGAGGCTTGGTGACCAGATAGCCTAGCCTACTTGGCCAGTTCTAGGCAAGTAAAACCCCCGTCTCAAACACAAGGTTGTCTTCTGGCCTCCACATGTACCTCCCCTACCCCACACATACATAACATAAATTGAAAATACATAGGACAAGAAAGTAGAAGAGAGAATATTTGGAATAGGAAGGAGACTAATGGAAAGGGAAACCAGAAGGGTAAGAAGTGATATATACAATTAAAGAACATAATACAAATATATGTGAACATCAAAATTAAACCCAGTATTTTCACGGGGGCATGGTGATATACAGTAGGAACGCAGAGGCAGGAAAAGAGCTGCAAATTTGAGGCCAGCCTCGTCTAGATCATGAGTTCCAGGCTAGCTAGGGCTACATAGTGATACCTTGCCTAAAACAAAGAACAGAAACGAAAAGAAACAAAACAGTCCTAAACCAGCAACTATAATGATGAATATATTCTAATGTTTTAAAGTTTGGCTTTAAAAACTCATTCATTCATTCAGTCATTCATTCATTATGTATAAGTGTTTTGCCTATATGTATGTATGTGCACATGTAAGCAGTGCTCAAGAAGAGGCCATTGGATCCCTTCAAACTGGAGTTATGGGTCTGAGTCGCCATGTGAGTCCTGGAACCCAATCTACAAAAGCAGCAAGTACTCATCCCTTGAGCCATAACTCCAGCCCAAATTTGGCTTTTTGAGAACCATTTAAAAGGCAAATTTTCACAGGGTGATAAGGGAAAGGTTAAAAAAAAATCATTAGCACAAGAAAAAGCATGTAAGTACAGAAGTGAAAGACAATTTCCCTAGAAAATATACCAAGAGGCAAAACAGTCCTATCCTTGCAAAGTTCTATCAATGCTCTATAATACACAGCAATGTTTTCAAAGCTAAGACAAACAAGAAAACTTCCCCAAGTTTAATTTCCAAGACAGAGGAATATAAGTTGAGGAAAAAAAGAAAAATAATCCCATTATAAACTAATTGCATTTACAAGTCTAAGTGAAAAATCCTAAATAAAATACTAACAAGTGAAATCTTACAATGGATTAAAATAATTCATCATGACCAAACACACTATGACAGAAAATTGTTGTAATTTGTTTCAGTCTTGCTACATAGCCCTGGTTGGCATCAGACAACATCCTCCTGTTTCAGCCACCATAACGGGGGATAGGATGTCAGATATGTACCACCATACCTGGCTCTAGAAAAAATTTTTTTTAAAGGTTTAGAATTAAGACTGGGTCTGCTGGAGAGATGGTTCAGCAGTTAAAGACTACTTGCTACAGTCTCTTTTACTGCCACTGTACTGCAGCTCTTACCTGGGTTCCTGGGCAGGGCTGGGAGAGAGCCAGGGGACCAGAGTTCAGTTACCATTACCCACACCAGGCAGCTCAACTGCCTGTTACTCCAGCTCCAGGGGATCTGGCACTCTCTTCTGGCCTACCCAGGTATCCCATACACATATTGACAGACACACAGACAGATAAATAAAATTAACAAAAGTATTTTAGCTGCATGTGGTAGCTCCTACCAATAATCCCAGTACTGAGGCAGGAGAACCATCAGTTCAGTCAGCCTGGGCTAAAGTGTGAGCCTTTGTCTCAAGGAAAAAATAATGCCCAAAGCAAAGGGGTGGGGCTGCAGCATCAA